CTCCTTCAATGAATTCAAGAAGATTGTCACGACACAATTCGCCAACGCCCAGAAGCCTCGTAAGAACTCTTAAGCCCCGTGACACGTCAAGCAAGAATCGAATGAGAACCTTCGTTCATATGTCGCTTGGTTCCAGTGCACTTTGGCATCAAAATGACACTCGAGGAATTGGAGTACCCTAAACGGCGGTTGATAACAAATTTAAGATGTTTGATCAACCAATAATATAATGGTTCGTCTCTCAAAACTTTCGCCTCATAAACTTGAGTCTTCAAGTTTTGGTCAGATGAAAGTCTGGAGGTGATTCCATGCTCTTTAAGAACAAAGCTCTGCGAAGGGTATTATGACAATCACCCTAGGAAAGAATATCGTCGACTATCTCCCTACGAGGAATAGTGCGACCGAATGTAAATGTGGGTCCAATCAAACAACCAAAGCTCACATTAACGCTTGAGTTAATAGTTGACACCCTAAAATAAATTGACAGCGACATACCGTCCGAGCGGTTGAGAAAAATATAAAATGATTGACAACGACATCACGATGCCCGATCGACATTCATGCATTGAAGGCCGATCCTCAACGATCAAGCAATAAAAAGTATTCCTAAAACTCAAGCCGGGCGAAGCGCTTGAGATGGTTTCGTGCCTAGTAACGACAAACACCGGGGGGTAGGGGGGTACTGTGTAAATCATCCCAACAGTTAGGTCTTGACAGTCGACATCATTTGAGGCAGTGACACGACCGAACGAGGGGGATAAGCACATTATAAGACTTGAGCTGGACGAATAACATATCAAAATCGACTAAAAAGTGTTGTGAATAATGCAACATGTCATAATTGAGCAAAACAGGTAAATAAACAAAAAATGAATAACACAGGTAAAAGTTGACCGAATGTCGTTTTTCATTGATATAATTTTGTTCGGTTACATATCTTTTCTTTATGAATAGAATTTTTCGATTACAATGATTTGATTGCATATGAAAAAAGATAAGAATTTTTTCTAAGTCTAGGACTCTTAAGGCTCGAGTGTTGTACAATTCATCACCCACCATATTGTCTCCCTCAGACTCCTCTTTGCGAGTTGATGCTGCAGGAACGATGAAATGTTTTTTGAACTCATTCTAGATCAGAGTAATTTGGTTCGACCATTCCAACTCTGACAATTGGTCGAGATGACTACCTTAGTACATGCCTTCAGATGTGTGACATTATTATCAAAAAATTCTCCGGGTGTCTTTATCATGGCCACCTACTCCGTTAGTTCCGCATTCTCCTTCTTAATGACATATACCCACTCCGACTCAATTTCCAGCTCTGTCTCAGCCTCCTCTAGCTGAGCCTCAACTAAGACTGCCCAATCCTCATTTGGTCTTGCACGCTCCTTGGATTCTCTCTCCTTCATCTCTGCTTTCAAAGGCCTATCTCTCACTTCAAGGTAGAGAGAGGACATGTGATTTGTGCGTGAGTCTAATCAGTTGGTATTATTTGATCAATTGGCATAGGTCTCTAAATCGGAGGTTGTTCAACAATTTCTGTAAGCCCTCCAACTAAAGCTCATTCGTCGTTGGAGCTTGCAGGAACCTGTCCCTCAACACATATATTAGGGTGAAATTGGAGTTTGAGCTGAGGAAGACCTTTGACTGCTCCTTCTGCAGTAGCCCTTATCTCCTTTCTCTTTTTTCTTTGGAGGCAAGGTGAGAGAAGAATTAGAGTCTACTACCGGAGCCTTGCCCTTCCTCCGACATACTTCCTCTTCGGAGACGACCGACCAATGCTCTGGAGCAAATTCAAGCTCAACCTCCTATTTTCCGTTTAGGCTTTCCTCCAAGTTCTCCACTTCCTCCTATTCCGCTGATTCATGTGGCGACTGAGGAGAAAACCGGCTGACCTCCCTTCTTTCAGATAGTGGGATAAAACTCGAGGAAGACAAGGAGCTCCTTATGTCGATGGCTGCTTCGATGACCCCTCAACATATCCAATAACACTGGAAGTCTGCTCATTTTCTTGGCGACACCCCGTCGAAGTTTCTAAGTTCGTTAAAGTTAGTTTTCGTTCGATCAAGATTAATTTTCTGGCGACAATATTTTGATAACTTTTATTGTCTCAGAAATAGAGTGAATCAGTTCAGAACCTGGGATAGTTCTGATCGCCGGTTTGTCCTCTTCCTCGACCTCTTCCCTCACGATTCTGTGAACGCTAGCCTTTCTTTTCCTCAATCCTTTCTGTGAAAGCTGAGAAATCTTCTCGATTTGCCTTTTCTTCTCTGCCTCATCCGAAGTAGGCCACAACTCTGGGGTCATGGCACTAAACCTTGCGGGTTCAACAACTGGGTCACTGTCATAGGTTTAGAATACTAAATAACTGACATGTGTTTGCCCACAACAGTCTATACATGTTCCAAGACCTGGGGTAGAACTCCCTTCTTCTTGTATGGCTCTCCAGTTGGTTCTGTAGCGATCCCCCATTCTTCACAGATATCATGGAGGAACCAAAATTTCAATCCTTGATCTTGTTCTCTTGATTGACCAGATGGAACTTCTGGATCGTTCCATTAATGTCTTAACTGTTGTGCTCCACCTTGAAAGAGAACATGTACGAAAACAACTCCCTAGATCAGGGGATCTCCATCCACCGCAAGTAGATTACAAAGGTTATCATGACCACAATTGAATTTGACTTTATTTGTGCAGGGATGACTTTGTAGTGGTGTAGGATTGATCAAATCTCATGCAAGAAGGGCAGTCAAAGCCTCCACCGAAATTGGACCCGGTAAAAGAACAAATCTTCGCCAAAGTCATTGGTCACCCTCACCTCCGACTCTACTGCCTCCAGTAATATACTTGTGTTATATACTTATGTATCTTCGAGTAGCTCTACATCAAACGACGTCAGGGAAGACCTCTTGCTTGCTAGCACCGAACCAAAGAGTTATAAAGAATACTTAGAAGCCATGCGAATCGCTGAAGGTAAACCGATTTAAAGGAGAGACAGAAAATGACTGAAGGGAAGTGAAAGGGAGATTTGAAAAGTGTAACCCTTTTCTCCTTTGACCATTATATATAAGGTATTAAGAGAATTCGAAACACTCGAAATCCATACCTCGATCTCCGAAAATTCACATAAAATCAACGCAAAATTTAAGAGAAGGAAATGACAAGATTTTGAAAATTTGCAAAATTAAATTTTTATTTATTCATAATAGAAAATATATTATACTAGAGTTTTTGGTCACCTCAGCCGATACAAGACCAAGACTCACTTGACTTTGATACAGGCTCGCCCCTCAAACTAAAACCTCTCAACACTCTCTTCCTCTGCCTTAACCTGGAAGGTCAAACAAGTCGCCTGTACCTCTGTCAACTTCAACTGAAGAGTTGCCATGTTCGCCCTGAGAGAAACCAATTCGACCATGTATTCCCGACGAAGGGTTGCTAGGTCTATTATGATAACCTCCCTCTGCAAGTCAGCTTCTCGGGTGAAGGAGTCCACCATTCATCCATTCAGTGAGCCAACAATGCTGGTGGACCTCATCGACTGTTGCTCTCTCTCTCAACTTCCTAAGGATTAGACAATCAAGTTGGAGCTGGCGGTCCTTCGGCCGCCTCTGGAATCACAAAATGGCTGACTTCCATCATTGATGAGTTGATGATCTGCACGATCTCATCTGTAAGAATAATCAAATGTTAGAAAAAACAACAAATCTAATCAATCAAAGAGAGTCGGGGTTTTTCTACTCTACTTTAGATGATCGTAAGCTCTAACCAATAATCGGTTGGAAAACCATCCGGCTGGTCTCACTGATCGAAGGAAAGGCAATTGTAGCCCCATGCTGATGGACCTTGGTCTCTTCGACCACTGGACTGGTTGTTGAGCCGATCGTTCACAGATCGATGCAGGGGCAAGGATCGTCACACCAGTGAGGGGCACGTCCGCCTTGCTTCCCATTTCACGATGGAGCGACATCGAGTCAAATGACTCAGCCGCTTCTTCCAATTCCTCCACTTTTGTCTTATGGGCCATTTTTTTTACTCACTTTTTTCCCTCTGGTCGGCTCCCTCCTTCTAGTATCTTTGTGCCGACCAGCCAGCCTTCTCTCTCCTGCTTCTTTTTTATTACTGGTCGATCCTCATCGTTTGGTTTCTTTTTTGCCACGGGTTGGCTACCCTTCGGTTTCCTTTTCTCCTCTGCAACCTTAGAAGGATGAAATTTTTTAGTTAAAATTCCAAAGGCCTTCACCATGGCCGTCTCATTTACCTCCTCAACAGAAGTCTTCTTGCTACTCGGCATTAGAATCTCTCCTGTTAACAACTGACTGAAGGGCAGAAAACCGAGAAAAAAATGGAGAAGTGCTGATCACAAATTATTTATAGGGACCGCGAGCACTGTAATCCAAGAAATTCACTTCTTAAAGTAGTTATTACGCAATAAATAAGTCAATTTTTTCATTTAATTTTCTAATTCCTATCGCAATTATCTCAAAAATATGTCTGCACGAAGCTTGAGGAAATCCAATGAGTCTTGTTTATGAATATCAAAGGACAGTGTATCAGATAGTCAAATTGTTATGAATATGAAACAACACTAATATTAGTTATGGATATGAAATGATGTCAGAGTCGGTTACAAATATGAAAATATTACATAATAATATATAACATCCTTTATTAAAATGGGGGCAAACTGTAATTTTACACTAGATACTCCTGAAATCTATAGATAGTGTAGAAAATGAACTCCTGAGTTTACTCTATCAAAACTCTTGCATTACTGTGCGCACGCACACACACTCTTTGTTTTCATTTCTCTCATCCGTTCTATGCTCTATATCTTTAGGGTGATCCACATTAATTACCTGGATTTAAAAGTTAGATACATAAATGTACAAGTAAAATTTAGATGTTAGGTATGTAAATACATATGAACTGGGTGGTATATAAATGCAAACGCCCTGTATTGTTTTATTTCATTAAAATGAAACAACATGTTGCTGCAGGTGTTGAATCATGTTGCCCAATTGCTTGACGTTTCCAAGGAAGAACTTGCAGCAGCAAGCTATCAGAATGCCCTTCACCTGTTCTCTTACCCAGGTTCCAAGCTCCTCGGAGAAATTTAAAACCTCCTACCTGTAACTGCCTGCAACGCTGCTTAATTAATCTGTAATTTATGGGCAAAAAAAAAGAAAAAAGTTTTTTTTAAATAATCAAGGGTTTCTCCTCTCTTTACCATCAGATTTTATGATAGGATCCGTATAGCACATGTATTTTGATGTCCGTTTAATGGCCATAAACTGTTCTGTATTTAATAATCTGCAAACATATTTAATAATATATGATTTATGAATTATGCCTAAATATTGCTTATTTATGATAATATCAAAGAACACGTCAAAAATGTCAATTTCTGTTTTCAATGATTTATGGAATTTCTAATGATTTGATGGTATGATATGCAATTATGATTTTTCTTATTTTGTTTTGAATTTTAAATATCTTAACATTTTTTGGCCGTAGAAAAAAAAAAAATCTGTCGGATTCTTATTTTATAAATGAAGGAGATTTCGATATCTCACTCATTTGTGTGAACAGTTTTTTTTTTTTTTTTTTAATTAAGAAGAATTATGTATATACAATTTAATTTTTATATATTTAGATATTTAACAACTAAATTTTAATTGGACAATTTCGTACACTGGTGGAAGTGGGGGTGATAAGGTAGGTGTTCATAAATATTACATTTTAACAAAATTGGTTCATGTCTTATATAATTTTAAAATTTATTGGAAATTACATACATTGCTCCTAATACTTGTGGATCTACTTGTCTACACTTAAACTTTTATTTTTACACAACGTTTTTCTTATGGATGAAAAGATGAATTTGACTATTAAAATGTGATAATAAATATTATTTTTCGTACGATGTTCATAAATATGAAAATTTAGGGCCCGTTTGGTGCTGGTTATTAGTGGAGGTGTTTTTGAAAATGCCGTGCTATCGTTTGGATCACGTATTATTTTTCGTATGATGTTCATAAATATGAAAATTTTGGGCCCGTTTGGTGCTGGTTATTAGTGGAGGCGTTTTTGAAAATGCCGTGCTATCGTTTGGATCACGTGTTCTGCCCGTTTGTCCGAAAGCGTAGTTTCATTTTTACATTAAACGCAAACCGTCGACCTGCGAGCACGTTTCAAGATGAGCTATTTATTCTGAAATGCATAAATCGCCCTAAACACACTTTTAAACATGAGATAGATAAATATGAAAGTTTTAGGTGTGACGTTTTCGTAAATTAAAATATTAAATCTTAATTATTTTTAAAATTTTTTGAATGAGGTGAAAGTTTTAAATGTAAATAATTGTCTTGTCATCTCTATTTTTTTATTTTTATTTTGATTTCATCATTGTACTTACATTCCACTCAAATTTTTATATATTTATATTTCTAATATTTAAATTATTTTGTAACATGTATAACCTCGTAACTTTTCTTTTTACATTAAAAACATTATTATTTTAATTTTTACGATGTAGGATATAATTTTTCATGCATAAGTTGATATGCATTATATATACATTATCTTTTTAAAACACGAGAATATCTTTTTATTTTATTTAAATTAAAATTATACTATTTTTCGTATGATGTTCATTTTGGGCGGTCTAAGTATATAAAAAATGAATGTTTAGATGTTAGATATGTAAATATATAGGACTTGGGTGATATGCATGTAAAAGGATCAAGGGCTTGATTGGAGAGAATTATTTATTTAAAATTATGAAATGGAGCAATATAATTAAAATCATTTAATTAAAAATAGTGCAAAACTGTGGTTTTGATGAAAAAAAAATTCAATAATAAGATATTCTAACAATTGACAGCTGTCCTTCATCCCACATGTTTCACAACAAATATCCAGCGGAGCCTTGTGGTCAGACTTATCTGAAGATCTGACGGTCATGATCAAATGATCACTTCATCCTATTGTAGTCCACGGAGCATCCTAACACTATCCTTCGATCCATCTATCATCCACCCGTCTTCTTTGTGCTTCTTCCTCCTTCTCCGGCGACGAGATAAGGAGGGAGGTAGGGGGAGGGATTGAGAGGAGAAAATTTTCCTAAGAAGATCCGATCATCTCCCAATCAACCAAAATGGCCGGATTCAGTGGTGATGAAACCGCTCCTTTCTTCGGCTTCCTCGGCGCCGCCGCCGCCCTTGTCTTCTCTTGTAAACCCTAGCCTCTCACTCTTCATCCTATGGATCTTTTCTATAGATTTATTGCTTCGTCTGATCTTTCTTTCCGTGGCATGTATTCAGGCATGGGAGCTGCTTACGGAACGGCGAAGAGTGGTGTCGGCGTGGCTTCGATGGGGGTGATGAGACCTGAGCTCGTGATGAAGTCAATCGTGCCGGTGGTTATGGCTGGAGTGCTAGGTATCTATGGCCTTATTATTGCTGTTATTATCAGCACGGGGATAAACCCCAAGGCGAAGTCTTACTACCTCTTTGATGGCTATGCGCATCTGTCATCTGGTTTGGCATGCGGACTCGCTGGTCTTTCTGCCGGTATGGCTATCGGGATCGTGGGTGATGCTGGGGTTAGGTAATAGTTTTTTTTACTTTTGTTTAGGATTATTTATGACCACGAATTTACATATTCATTAAATTTGAGCTTTAGGGTTTTAGATCTGTTCGGTTTATATTTTGTTTTGATGCTGCTTGACATCTCGTTTTGTGTTTTACTTCATGATTAATTCTTTGGACTCACACATTCGAAATGTTCTGTTAAATTTATGGAGCTTTCACATCTCTGCATAGTTTTACTGAAGTTTGGATCTTTGAGGATGAAATCATTTTTATGGAGGCATTTTCCTTCTTTTTCCTATTTTATACTTCATAATGCTTTCCATGGGGCTTATAAAACTGTCCATCCTTACTCATCAAGTGCAAATCGTCCAAATAAAAATGATTTTGTAGAATTATGTCAGAGAAGTGATGAATGAGCCAAGAAAGGAAACCAAAAAAATGTGCTGAATTTGATGCATTGACATAATTTTCTTTTATCGCCATAATAATGGTTACAGATTTTTTTTTAATCCTCATAATAATGGTTAGAAACAAATGCATATTGAGGGATTAAAGGGCAATTTACCCTACCCAGCTCATTCAACATTTATCTCTGTTTAACCACTTTTGGTCACTGTAGCAACTCTCTTGTGATCATGCTTTAAGGGATACAAGTTTTCACCCCATAATATGAAGGAATGTTTACATACGTACCACTTAATTCCCATGTAATTTCATATCTAACACGTTTACTTAAATTTTACACCTCACCTTACCCATGCATGAGAAGGTGTATTTCAATTTTAAAAAAGTTAAACTAGTGGCATTTTTTATGTAATATGAAAGATTTGGGTTGTATAAATTTAAGAAGTAAAGTTTAGGTCTTAGATATGTAAATACATAAGAAATGGTTGGAATGTATGTAAATGCGTCTGATATGACTTTTGGTTATGCACTGCAAGGGGTACTTTTGTGGTATGATTTTTTGATTAATTTACATTTTGAAAATATTATGCTAAGGTCTTGAAGCTTCCATAACTTCCTTTTCTTTTTCTTTTTCTTTTTATAATGTTTTTTTTTTGTTGCAAAAACAATTAGATACACTTGTTTGCAAATTTTAATTGTTCATGTTGCAATTTCTTTATAGAACATTTATACAATTTGTGCAATTGTATAAATGATTAACTAGAGTTGGGTTTCCACAAATTTAACCATATTCTATTGTGATATCTTCTGCTTCACTTCTAACATGCACTACTACCAGCTTGCTATTTGATTTCTTTGAATCTCTCGGGTAACTCTCAAGTGATAATTTTACTTTAGTGTAAAATGTTCACAGTTTTTTTAGCTGCTACATGTCTACCTCATGCAAAATATAAAATTCGTCCTAGTTGAAAGTGTTGGACATGTGCATTGGTTTGAGCAAATTGATAGAGCATTATTTTTATTGTTTGTCGGTTGCTCTTGTTAATATATATATATATAAATTGCCTATGATGACTTTATTTCTGTTTGGTTGAGTTGTGAGTACTGTAACTGTTTTTTAAGCTAATTTTGCTGTTGGTCCTCATCTTAGTGGTTCTATATTGGTTATGGCTATTGAGCCTTTAATTAGATTGTTTCTTTAAATGAAAGTTTATGTTTGGTGTGTCATACCAACCAAGGGTTTCCATAGAAATTAGGGCAAACAATTATTTTATTTCTTCAAAACAAAACGACACAATCCGAAGGTGATCTCTTCCAAACCCTAACCCTAATAACTACAATTTGAGAGATAGGGATTCTCTCTCAAACCCTAACCCTAACGACCAATTCTAGAGGAAGGCGTCTCTCCGAAGCCCTTGTTGTAAGAATCAAGACAAAATATCTTCATCCCTTTTGACCCTAAGCTTATTAGCCCTATTTATACCCCACAGTAATAATTAATACAATATAAAATTGCCCTTAGGCACCCGTGAATATTGTTTCCTTTTCAAAAAAAAAAACCTTGTTCTCAAGGTGGGGAAAAAATGAAATCGTTGCTAGATCAAGCCATATGACTTTCACTCATTAACTTATTTGAGTCAGTTGTAAGAATCAAGACAAAAATATCTTCATCCCTCCTGACCCTAAGCTTATTAGCTCTATTTATACCCCACAGTAATAACTAATACAATATAAAATTGCCTTTAGGCAGCCGTGAATATTGTTTCCTTTTCAAAAAAAAAAAAACCTTGTTCTCAAGGTGGGGAAAAAATGAAATCGTTGCTAGATCAAGCCATATGACTTTCACTCATTAACTTATTTGAGTCTGGCTCTCGTCGTCAACAGTTGATTGAAACAATTGGTGGATTGTTGACACTGCATGAGGACCGCGCCTAATTCATGGGTTAGCTTGAAGCCTCAGCCTTTACAATGAAAGGTTGGTTGAAATTTGATAGCGCCCGCACTATTACACTCATCATGACATTCTCTAACTTCTTAGAAGTTTTGTTTTCCCCATTCTCGTATTGGAAGTTATTCTTCTTCATTTTCTTCATAAAAAATCACACAATCGAATTACAACCCTTCATGATTTTTCGGTAGTATTTAAAAGTATTAGAAATCTTCTCATTGTCTTAGGTAATGACCTCTCCAATTAAGTTGTCACTTTTGATGGTTCTGCCGACACCAAGGTCTTGAACATAGTAGGGTCACCGCGAATCGTCCCCATCTTTTGTGCCCTTTTGAATATTCTGTGGTGTCAAAATCGGACCTTTGTATACTCGTTGCTTTTCTCCACTGCACTGTTCCCATAAATTACTTTTGAATTGTCTTTCGCTCGGAAGACGACCGCAAAAAAAAGCATTGACACGGTTTGATGCAACCCTCTATTGATATGTTGACCATCGCGATTTTTTCCATTTTTAAATTCTAACTTAAATATTAAAGTTTGTGTGTGATTATGCTGCCAAATTTGAACATAAATGCATGTTGATTGTGAATAATTCTTATTTTAGCTCACAATATGATGGTTCCAATAATGGAAGTCATTTGCCTTCTTCTGATAGAGGACCAATGATTAGATTTGTTGTGAATGTGGATGAAGATGAGAATACCAACTCAAACAATTCCTCCTCCAACTTTTGCAAAAGAACATAGAAATATAGTATGTTTAGATATTGCAAGATGTTTTTATGAGAATGAAATCTCTTTTAGCGTAATTAGGAGCTCTTCATGGATCAATATGCTTCGTTTTGTTAGAAATTAGTGGCGAGGGCTACATCTTCCTAACATTTATGAGATGCTAGCATGGATGCTGGATGATGAGGTTAAAACTACGACAAGAATGATAGATCAAGTGAAATGAAAAAGACATGGGCTGAGACTAGCTATTATTATAATGTGATGGTTGGTCTAGTATTAGAAAAAAAATATTATAAATTTTCTTATTAACAACCCTTATGGAACAATTTTTTTTGAAATATGTTGATGCATCAGCTTTTGTAGAAGATGCACAATTGCTATTGAAAATGCTTGATGTGGTTGTTGTAGAAGTTGGGAAAAGTGTAGTTGTTTAAGTTATTACAAATAATGCAAGTGCCTATAAAGCTGCTAAAGGGATGTTAATGGGAAAAAGAAAGCATCTTTATTGGACTCATTGTATTGTCTTGATTTAGTACTTAAAAAATTGAGACAATTCTCACAACATAAATCCACTTTGCTTAAAAAAAGGCACCTTGGGTATTAAACTTGATGAAGAAATTCATAGATAAAGAATTTATCTGACTAGCAATTAGAAGATTTGTCATGGCTTATCTGACTTTGTAAAGATTTAAAGAGCTACGACAATCTTTGGAGGCTATGTTAGCTTCTGAAGAAGGGATATAAGTACTTGGGCAAAAAAATTAGAAGGAAATCAAGTGAAGAAGATTTTTCTGAGATGATTCATTTTGGCTTAGTGTTAGTTATGCTCTGAAGACTACAACTCTATTAGTGAAAGTATTACGAATGATTGATAGTGAGAGAGATTCTGCTATGAGACTTATTTATGAAGCTACAAGCAAAGCAAAGGAGGAGATAACAAAAGAATTAGGAGGACAGGAAGCAATTTATAAAGAAATATATGAAATCGTTGACGATCGTCAGCTTCGTCAATATTTTCATACTGCTGCATATTTTTTGAAACCTCAATTTTATTTTGATAAAAACTTTCATGTGGATAAAAAGGTTAAGATCAATTTATATGCATGCATGGATAGAATTGTCCCTGAGTCTAACTATCTTAAAGTCAATGATCATTTAAAGGATAGAATGTCAGGATTTAAAACATCTTAAAGCCTGCAACAAAACATGCTCATCTGATAAATTTCATTTATCCATAATTTAAATCTATGAGTTTATCATTTAAATATAAAATTACATCTTAATATATACTGCTACTTTCCTCTAATCTTTTGTTTGAACATTCGTGAGCACAATTCGGAGATGACTTGCTTGAACTGAAAGTATTTGATGTTAAAGTTCTTAGTTTGACTTGTTCAGATTCGGCATGCGAGCATAATTGGAGCATGTTAAACCAACTGTAATAAAAGAGAAGAAATTGATTGGCTCCAAATTGAAGGAACAAGTTTGTTTAAGTTAAGTTCAATAAAAAATTGAAAGATAGACACTTTATGACAACATAGAAATGGTTGTGTTGGAATTGATCCTTTGACTACTGATGATATTACGTCCGATGATGAATGGACAGCGTATAAAAATGCTGAAGTATTTGAAGTTGAAGATGAATAAATGACTTTTAATGATGATAATGAATATATCAATTTTAACATTGAAAGGGATCAGAGAGATTGAATTTGGAGCAACTTCTATTCACAATCATTTAAAAGAAAAAAACAAAATGGGGTTGGAGCTTTAAAAAAATCTAAAGGTATTTCCATAATTAATGTATAATTAATTACTTAGTTGTGTTATTAATTATATTGAATCCAATGTCAATTGATGTAGGGAGTAAAATGAAAGATGTGGTAATGGAAGAAAATTTTAAAGATGATGATAACACAAAATTCAAGGAAGATAGAGTTATTATGTATGACAATTTTTAGGAAGATGATGAAAATGACGATGATACTGCTTTGGATCCTATTTCTTGTGGCTATTTAAATTCTAAGTTTAATGTTCAACTCTTATATTTGGGATTAGGATGTTTTATTAAGTGAACCAGGGAAGTTTATTGACATATTTAAATTTTGAGTTTAATGATCAAGAGTTGTGATTTGTCAAATGCATATTTATGAATTGTGTTTAAATTTATGTGTTTATAATTTTTTTATTTTGAGGCTTGTGCCTCAATTTGCTTCGAGGTTTTTGCCTTACGTCACAAAGAAAAAACGCTTTGATTCCCGATTTTACTTTTTAAAGCTTTGGTTTGGAGTTAGGTTTTCAGAGAATCAAGTCAAGAGGGACATTCCATGCATCCTTTAGTGACAGTATGTGCTAAACATAGATATCTCATTCACATCAGGGAATTGTATCTTGTTGTGTGAGCTCTTTGATATTGGAGACATTATTTGCTGCCTAAAGAGTCTGTGTTATATTTTAATCATCGAAGTTGAGAATATTTTTTGTCTTAGAAGAATTTATGTCCTGAAAACTTTCATGTTTATTCCCATCAGAAGAATCATATTAAGTATTGATTTTTTCATGCATTTTTTTTTCATTTTATTAGTTATATCTGTTTTTGGGAACATGCTAGTGTTGCCAGATGCGAAACGAATATATTTGTGAAAGGGTTGAAGTAGCTTCAATGGCAGACAAAATTAGAGAGAATCACCTTATAGATGGTCCGACCATGTGATGACCCTATTAGGAGAGTGGATGTTCTAGATTTGACTATGTTAAGAAAGGTTGAAGTAGTATACCTAAAAAACTTGATAATATTGTATAAAAAAATGATCTTAGTTTTTTAGAATTAAATGAAAATATGACACTCAATAGCACCCAATGGAGAAAAAGAATTCATGTAGCGAACCCCACTCAGTATGTTTAAGGCTTGTTTTTGTTGTTATTATTGGGAACATGCTAGTGTTGATTGCCAGAAAATTTTCTATTGCATTTGCCGAGAAAGGTTGTTTTTCCTAGTTTTTTACTTTTTTTTTTGTTTTCCTTCTCCCAGCTTTTAGTTTATATCATCTTAAGCTTACTGTGAATTTAACCTTTTTTCCGTTAAATCAATTTTCATGATACGTTGCTTAAATTTGAATACATATGGAGTTGATCTTAAAATAATATAACATTTGTATAGATTATGTGATCTGTTGTTGCGTTATTTATTTTCATTGACTCGTAGGCATTGGAATTTGGGCGATAGTATTGATTTTTTAAATGGAGATTTTTGGATTTATGTGCTTGTTTTCTATAATAAGAAGAGGTTTTTGGAATTATCCCTTCTTATTTTTATTATTTTTTTAATATGTTGGATATTATAGTTTACTAACATTTGATTGCTGGGTTTGTGGGCTTTTGAGATTTTGTTGTTTCTGTTCATGGGATTTTTCTATCTATGATGCGGGACTTGTGGCTGATCTTACTAATATTTCGTTTCTTGGTTATGAACCGTGGTTTAACTGCCTTGAAAATTTAACACTAAGCATAACTCCTCCGTTCATAGAGAGAATCATTTCCTTGTGTGGTTGTTGTGAAGCTGTGGGGATCTCGTTTATTTTTTGTTTTTTCTACATAATTTGTTATTTATAGGTTTGGCGCTATTGATTTTAGTAAAAAAATTTATGCATCAGAAATTTATTTTTGTGGAAATTAATTCCTTAGCTTATTGTTCGCATTTGCTTTCTAATTCTTGTTGATATTGTCATATTTATTATTGTTTCATTTTCTGCTGAGCCTAAACTCCAGTATTGACTTGCTTAAGGGGCCTTTGGCTCACTTTTATTTTTTATTTTCTATTGCTTATTTTTCATATTTTCTTTCATGTTTTGTTTACATTTTGATATGAAACAGAACATGTACAGTCTAAATTTTTAAATCAAAATATAATATCAAATCGGCATTTGCTTTTTAAACATAGCCATTATATTATCTTCTTCAGAATATTTGGTGCTTTATGTTTTTTGTTTAAAAAAGAGTTTTTTTTTTAATTAAATTGATGGATGCGAGTGCACTAGAAATATAGACCTTACAATATCTTGCAAACCTTCAGCTTATTTGCATCCCAGAGAATTTTATTTTTTTTATTTTCCCATGCCGTAGAATATTTCTTCCAAGAGAAAACCCTGTGAAAAATGATAAAAATTATATTTTTGCTGGTTTGTAACATTGTTTCAGTATAATAATGTTGGTTTTACATTACTCTGCATGCTATAGGTTCCATATAAATAACAATGTTTACAGACTCTTTGCCTATTTAACGTTAAACTTGAAGGTTCACATTGTTGATGTGATCTATAATAAGACTACAACATAAGAGTTATGCGTGATTTGAATTTCTTTCTTTTTCAGGATGATTAAATTATTTACCAACTCATGTGAAAAATACAAAGTTGATTGGATAAATATGCGTACAATCTCTCATTCAAAAAATTTAGTTTAACATGTGTTTCACCAATTAAGGTTGGGGGTATTTTACATATATGGCACCCGATTCTTATATATTTACATCTAATACCTGAACCTTATTTTTTTTTTACGTTTATACAACCCAAAACTATCATCATCACATGTGTTTCACCAATTAAGGTTGGGGGTATTTACATACATGGCACCCGATTCCTATAGATTTACATCTAATACCTAAACCTTATTTATTTTATTTTTTTACGTTTATACAACCCAAAACTATCATCATTTTAATTTTATTTAAACAAAAAAAAAAAAAAAATGAAATACACGTTTGTCATTTATAAGTAAAGTGGAATGTGTTTTTTAAAAAAATAAAATAAAATACACGTTTGTCATTTATAAGTAAAGTGGAATGTGTTACCTATAAAGAAGTATGTAAATGCATCAGAATTAGGTGGTATTTATTGTTATTATTCCTAATAATAATAATATTTGTTTTCTTTTGTGTAAAAATAAATTTGCAGAGCCAATGCACAGCAGCCGAAGCTGTTCGTGGGGATGATACTGATACTGATATTTGCTGAGGCGTTGGCGCTCTATGGATTGATAGTTGGCATAATTCTGTCGTCTAGGGCTGGCCAATCTAGGGCTGATTAAAATTCTTGCTCTCCTTTGGTGATCTCTATAGCTTCCAGCATTTGAACCGGGCCTTGTGCTTCTATTTAGGAACCACTTTTATATTCAGAACGTTTTAATAAGATCTTCTGCTAGTCGATTGCTACAGACTCTATTTATTACATACATATATATATTTATTAACCATTTTGAGTACTTATATCGTGCAGTTTTTTCCTATTATTTATTTACCTTGATGTCGAGATTTTTCTGTCGTTTAGTGTCTAAAATTATAATCAAATCGGTTTGAATCAAATGTTTTGTAATTATTTTCATAGAAGAATAACATGAAACAGCTCCCATGTTTTTAGGTATCTTTATGTCAATACTCGTCTTTGCATTAAGGGGGCCTATTTTATTTTTATTTGATAAGGAAGATTTGATTGTTTGAAATGTAAAAACAAAGTTGGATTCGTAAATTCTTATGAATTGTTTGGCATGTACATGACTCACACTCTTTAAGCTATTCGTTGAAAGAGGTCTGCGATCTGTTTTTCTTTTGCCTTAGAATTTTAAATTTCGACCGAGTTTTCAGTCTTTACTACAATTATTACTGGATATGTAGTCACTCATTTTAGTATTTAATGAAAGTTTAGGGTTTTTTCAATCAGATTATACAAATTATTGTTAAAAAGATTTTCAACATTAAAATTTTATCATCTGTTGAGTGCAGTAAAAATATTTTTAAATGCATTTTGTAACCAGTTGCATTTTATATTGTTTGTAAAAAATCATGTAAATGTCCCTTAAAAAATAATGAAATTCGAGAGATGTTGGGAACTCGGGAAGCAGGAAATAGATCCAACAAAACAAAACAGACAAACAAGATGAAGCAATCAATGAGAGCTTCAGACATACATTCATAATGATAGTAGTATTGTCCGTCAACACAAAACTCTCCTTTAAGAAAATTGTAAAATAAAATAAAGTATATTTACATCAAACAACTCTCAACACCTAAAGCTATATTTACACACCAAAAAGTAGCACGACTAACAACTTAAACAAGAAGCACATTTTCATTCGGAGATTTATGACAACAAAGTGTTCTCAATATAAATATCAAATTTGAAGTCATGGATATATAAGAAAAAAATCTACTGACTTTTTTTTCTTCAATATAATATGATGTGTGAACAATTTTATAAATAGGCAGATCCTGAACTCGAGATATTATAGCTCTTACAAAAATTACACTGCTCAATAAACAATTTTAAGTTATCCAAACAGTTCCACGAAAACTGATAATGATCATCTCCCAAAGAAACAAATAATTAAAAAAAAGAAAATGTTCATCTCACGAGGCAGGACAAGAAAAAAGATGAAACGAGAATATAGACAACGCTCTTAATGAATTAACTATTGCAGGATCAACTACTCTTTTACATTATATATATATATATCTATATCTGTGCGCGCACGCATGCACCGCAAGCCGTGGCCTGTTGTTTGGTGGGATTCACTTTAGATCCCCTTAAGTCACAGGTTCGATCCCCATTGGCGCTTGGTTCTCGAATATTTTGGCAACTTGCGTGGGCTCCCAGGTTCGATCCCCATTGGCGCTGGGTTCTCGAATATTTAGGCACATTGCGTGGGCTCTCAACATGGGGCTTAGCGCATGGGATATCGGTATTTGGGCCTACCGATTTCCTTTTTTTAGTAATATATATATATATATAGATCTTAGAAGATCTTTGCATATCATCCCATCAAAGATAAAAAATGAAAATTAAAACAAAAAAAAAATCATTTTAAAATCCAGAATCAGTACTATAAATTTAAGTTTTTTTTTTAATTTTTTAGATGGAATAAATTAAAGTTTTAACTCACCATATCTGTATTTAAGGATGATGCGGAGCTTCGCAAAGAATGAAGCCATGTCATGTGCGGTAGCTCCAACTCCTAAGAAAACTATGACAAATCTTCAAAACCTGTAGAAAGAACAGAATACAGGAAAAGAATGGTAAGCAAAATTGCATTTCGATAAATGAAGCAAATGAAGAACAGCAGACTTCCTCACTCAGTCGCTACAAGCTTTTACTACAGAAACATGCTACGTACAATATTCCTAGAAAAGCAAATTATTAGAAGAAAGAAAAATATTAGAAAACTTTGGCAAACGATACATAATAAAAAAAGATCAAACATTCAAAATTACAGCACACTGCAAAGCTTTTGTAAATGCTAAACAAGCAGACAGCAAAAATAAGATCATATCCACATGAAAACAAAGAGATAATAAACTAATGATATACACACACCATTCGATTTTTATGCATTTACATAAAACCTAAACTTCAATTTTTACATGCATAACACCTTACCTATGCAGAAAAAATGCATTTCACTTTTTAGAAGTCAAAATGGTGGTATTTTTTATGTGTTATGAACAATTTGGGTAGTGTAAATGCAATAAGTAAAATTTAGGCGGTATGTATGTAAATGCCTCCAAAATAAAGATATAGTACCAAGAATTCACCTTCTGTACTCCTTACCTCACACTATAAAAACTGCAATTGAACCCTGTCAATCCAAATAAAATAAATAATTGAATTTTACTCCAAAAAAAAAATGCAAGAAGAATCAGTAAATCTACTTTCTAGCTGTTTGATGAAATTACCTTGTAAAAATAATGTAGTAGACTGCACATATTTTCTCATCTCGCTTCATCTACCAATAATATAGAACAGAAAGAAACAAAATTATAGAATACTTAAAAAGACTCCAGCAAAAAAATTTCAAAAAATGCATCATATATTTTTGGAAAGACATCCGGATGAGATTTAAAAAACATACAGATATCCAATACCAAACTCCAGATGCTATTTTCCCCCACTTTGTTCTGATTACAGAAATCAGCAAATCAAAAGAATTTGACTTTTCATGTTAGTCGATGGCATTTAACAAAAAAAAAATCTCAAATGAAAAAACTGTACAGATCCAAAAAATTTAAAAAGAACAAAGAAAAAAGAAAAAAGAGTTTATCTTGTAAACACATTTGATTCCCTAAACAAAGAATAGGGTCAAAATAGAACCTAAGAATACATGATTCTTGTGTGATGTGGGTAAACCTACACACAAAAACATTCTAGTCCATTTATGTTTAATGGGCCTTTGACATTTAGAAAGCAATTCCTGGATATAGGCCTGTCATGACCAGTCATGCACGAATCTTGAACTCCTGATCCTTTTTCACCGTTCCCTAACCGAAACTGACCTCCAAAACAAAAAAGGAACGAGAGCACCGTCCTCCAGCAAAGAATCCATAATAAACAATATGGAAACTCAACTGGTATTTTAAGGGCAGATCTTTCAACTATGCCTTTGCCATAATCGTGTTTATCAAAGGTACAAAGGCATTGGTGTTCATGCAAAATTCAGTTTGCAAAAATACCATCCAGTTCTGGAGTTGAAAAACAAGAAACTGCTCACTTGCTTACAGTCCTTGCAGCAAAAAACTGCAGTGATGAATTATAGGCATTCCAGGATCTGCAGCAAGCGATAATCAAGAGTTTGCTGGGGGTCTTGTTGCCATGTGCATTTCAATCAACTTGTCCACAAAAGCTCTTATCTGGAAAAGTACAAAATTAAAATAAAATAAAATAAAATACTAAAACTGATGGTACCAGTTATGACAACATGCTCACTGAATAAATTTCTGGCATCTAAACTGGAAAATTCAATTTTAAAGTAAAACCTGCTTGAAATGAAAACCATTAACTTAGAGACCATTTGGGATCAACTTTATTTTTTTTCCTTAAATTATGTTTGTTTATGTTTTAAATAAAACAAGTTTGGTTGCAATGGCTGTTTTACATACTACACAAGTCTTATATATATACATATATAATACCTAAACATTCATATTTATATACATTACACTTAATATTTCTCATCACATCAAAAATACAACTATCATCAACTTTTAAAAGTGAACTACACTTTTTTGTGCATAATATTTTAATACCAAAGTGTTTTAAATGTAAATATCAAACTTTCTGTTAGATAAATAAATGCGTTCTCTTTTAAAAACAGTCAAAACACAGAAAAGCAGTTTTGAATATTTTTAAAAGCAAGTTGATTTATTTTAAAAAAAATATCAAAAAAAAAACATGCAAAAAATACACTAAACAAACAAGTTTTTAAAACAAATGAAAAATAAAAATACAAATACAAAAACAGAAAAGAAAAAGCCCAACAGACCCTTAAAGTGAGCTCCCATTGGATTTAGTGAGTAAATCGAAGACATTGATGAATCAAGGAAGTACAAACCTTGTTCTTACGCCTGAAATCTAGAAACTCATATGCATTCATCACTTTTTCTGTCTCTGTGCACTGTTCGACAACCTAAAAAACACAGATTAAAAACCCAATAAGTTAGCATGTTGTAGTAGTCAATAGCAAGCTTCATCTAAGTTTGTGGAAACTATAGGCCACCTTTGTTGCAGTTTTCTTCATGATTGACTTATAACCATCTTTATCAATCTTCCTCGTTTTATAAAGAGGCATCAAAAGTGATGTAACATAATCCACAACACCTTGTCTAATGTGTTCCACTCCTCTAGAATGACCTTCACATGATGATTTGTTCTCTGCAACATGCGAGGCGGACATTCTATCAGAAGATTCATGCTGCTTCAAAGCCTGCAGCTTCTGTCTTCTATTCGAGTCCTCTTCGTCCCTCAAATGAACGCGGTTATAAAATTCTACATCTGCGTCCATTGCCTGCAGTTGCCATCTCTCAATGGCTGAAGAATCTTTCACTGCGCCATTACTAGCAGAATCTGTATCAACCCATGCCTTTGTCAATCTACTATCAATTGTTCCACTTTCACCTGACTGTTCCCCAAAATTTAATGGGCATTCGATCTCATTTGAAAGACTTTGGTTCATATCATCGGAAAGTCTGGAACTCTCAAAATTTCTGCATGTAGAGGTAAAATCAAGAGACCAGTCTCTAACCCTGCAATTTCTTGAGTCGATCTCAGACATGCAATCTTGCTTCCCAGAAACACCACCTGACCATCTCTTTCTGATATCAGAGTCATCCAACTGCATGTATTGATCACGCCTAGCAAATTTATGAAATGATGGTATCTTTGGGAGTTCTCGAAAGGTGCTCATCTCTGCTTCCGAAGATGCAAATGCCTGCAGAAAATAATAAATAATATAACAATTAAATATTTTTTTTAACTAAAGGGATGTTTGTTTGACTGCAAAAGAATGGTGCAATCCTTTTGCAGGAGCTTTGAGAATTTTGATGATTGGTCGGACAAAAAACAAATGCCGTGTATAATTACAATGCATTTAGAATTCAGAGTATTTACTTACCAAACAGCCCCTAACAATAGCATAAAGAAATCTCAAAGATGCAGAAAATATACCAAGTACAGAGTGTTTACAACAAACCTTTGCAGCTGCAATAGCAGAAGCACGTGCAGCTTCAGCAGCATCAAGGGCAGCAGCTTCTACAGATGGTGTGGTAACATTCCCCATTTCAGAATCCAATTTTTGAAACTTCCTCCGAGTATCTGACAATTTCCTCTCTGCCAACTCTAATTTTCCTGCCTTATCAGTTTTCCTAGATTTTGTTTTGGACGGTGAATGATTTCCAGCAGATGAAGGAGGCGTAAGAATACCCCTACTATCCATTGCTTCGTTTCCTCTACATAAAGGCGTAGTTACTAATTTCTGATCTTTAGATCTGAACTTTGACTGTTCAGAAACTGCTGTCTGCCTCAGAAGCTTCAATCTACCATTTGCAGCCTTTTCCTTGCGGAAAACTTCGATCCACATGCTTACTAGCTGGCTTGCAATAGCACGAATATCTCTGCTGGTATGTACACAAACTTTCTCCTTGATTGTCTTTCCAATCCCTGCAACAAAAGAAACATCAACTTATCACAAGGAAAGAAAAACCTGGATGTGTAAGACACAAGGCATAAAGAAATCCCAAATGAAACTTAGCCAGATAGATAAAAATACAGATATGAAAAGCTTCAGAAGAGCTCTGCACGTTTTTGATTCAAGATGTAAATGGATTTCAAAAACTTCATGCAAAATCATAAGTAGATTTAATAAACTTATTGGACATTACAAAAATGAATGACAGAGAAATTACACAATCATTAAATTCATCATCATCATTATCAACCATGACAAAACTATTTAGGGACAGCTTTAAGATCCCCTCAAGTTAAGTGCAGTAAGTGGTGTTGGACCTAGTCTGCAATTTCATTCGCATAGATTCTACAGATGTTACCTTTATGATACCCTCTTACTTTAAAATTAAATTTATGCATGACTTAAGGCGCATCTTCTATACTCAATTGAATGTGGCAAAATAATGCGGACTAGAGAATGAAGAACTGAGTTGAGATTCAACATCAGTGAGAGAAAGAGAGAGAGAGAGAGAGGGCGAGAGGAAGGGAGGGAGGGAACGAATTATATTTGGTTGTAATATATTTTAATATTCAGTAGATTAATGTTCTCTACAAGCCTTCCCGGTTTATAAGAGAAGTTTTACGTGTGAAATCACAAAAGTTAACAGGGAAAGCAATAAAAAAATGGACCTTGAAGAAAAGAATATCTTTTAAGAAACTATTCTCAAAAGAAAGCAATGCATAATTACATCTTTACTATAAGAATAATCTTTATGAGAAAAATCTTGAAAATATAACTGGAACAAAAAAGGAGATGACATATCACCAAAAGTGTCCCATGTCAATTCCAAAAGAAAGCAATGCATAATTACATCTTTACTATAAGAATAATCTTTATGAGATAAATCTTGAAAATATAATTGGATCAAATAAGGTGATGACACATCACCAAAAGTGTCCCATGTCAATTCTAATGGGGGCGGTCCCTAAAAAGTAGACTCTATATATTCATGTTTGGAATGTACACATTACTCTCTCAGAGGTGAGCTACTTTCACTCTGAATTGCCATTCAATATAGATCCAGATAAAAAGAAAGTTTGTATAGAACTCAAAAAACTTGAAGCCCAACAAAATTTAAATAGTTACAAAGCGAATAAATTTAGATCTCATAATCTATGATCCCCTCTAGAAGCTTTAAACAAAGTGAATTACTACTCATGCATCGAAGGCCTACAAACCCGCACGCTACATGATAGTATCTTCAAACCAAACTTGGAATGTCAGACACTCATCGAGAAAATATAAATTTTGCTTAATAGATAATTAATATGAAGGGCATAGGGTTCATGGCACCTAAAAATGGCCATTATATCAGAAAGTACTATAGAAAGCTGACTAAGTCATCATCCAAACTCATTAAGTCCAAATGCCAAGCTAAGAAGTCCTTGCAAGTACAAGTTAAGGTAAGAGAAACATAGAAATTTAATTTTATTTTTGTTTGATTCAAAGAAAAAAAAAGTACAGAATTCCAAGAGAATTTAAAATCCCTCTAAAGATACTTTTTCCCTAACAATCAAAACTCACATACATTGAGTGATTTGAAAGACTTTTCATCTACTACTTTGTCACAACCTAATAGTGTGTCACGCTCCTAGTCATCAAAATTTCGAGCGTCCTTACTATGTCGTATTCATCCTCTCTCCTCGCTGGGCACATACTTCTTATCTTTTCTCCTCAACTTGCAGCCCATGTTTGTGCCCACCTACAGTTGATCGACGTTAGATGGCTGTTACCCTCCTTGATCTTCCTCCACTTGATGCCATCACCCATGACTTCCATCATTGCTCGACCTTCTAAAAAATCGACATCTTCTACAGATTCCCTTTGCCACTCATGACCTAGAACTCACAGATCTTGAATTTCCTTTGCTTGGGAAACATCACCAATCTCAATCTCCTTATATTGTTCAACTTCATCATTGAAAGTCTTCATCTAAGTGTCATAGTCACCTATAAAGCATATTCCATGCTCAACACTCCTTCACCCCTTCTAATCTTGACATCTTCACATACATCTCAACTCGTACCGTATTTAAATTATTTTGCTATATTTGAATTATTTTAACATAAAATATGTGTTATTATATATATCATGTACATGCATTTAGGATAGTGGAGTTGTATATTATTAAATATGTTGATCTTGACATCCTTTTGTTGCTGGCTAAGAATTTACAACATAATTTTGAGTAAAGATTAAATGCATGTAACTATCCACAGAGTTAGCATTGCAATAGCTAGTGTTTTGTTTCTTATATTAAATGAAATATGCAATGAAAGAATAAAATCACGACAAAACATGTGGATTTGCAATGAAAGAATAAAATCACGACAAAACATGTGGTAAAACTCATATCTACAAGAAAATTTGATTACAAATTTAATTTTTTAAGATGAAGAGAATGACTGACAATATTTCTTCAAATCATGACTAATTGTTTCCCGATATAAGCTATGAGTATATTGAAAAACCTAGTTGTTATTTGTGTACCCTCAGTCATAGTGTGCATATTTTTAAGGATTTGGAGATTTTTTGATATTTCAATAATGTTTTCTGTACATTGGTGAATCACACAAGGAGATAATCAAACCTTTACACCTCAGAACTCTGCAAAAGAATACAATTAAACAAAGCATTCAGGGTAAGTAATTAAATTTTATTTTTATGCCAAGTTTTTATAAAAAAAAAGGATTTTGTAGAATCACTAAATGTAACTAAGAACAAAGCCAAAGTTCCCAAACAAGTAAAAAATTTTTTTAAAAAAAGAAAACCATATTCAAGTCAAAATGAACTAGCAGCAAAGGACTTCAACTTGGCTTACATACATTTTCGTTGGTTGGAAGAGCTTAAATCATAATAAGAATGAAGCTTCCTATAATCAACCTATGTATATTCCCTCTTGTAAATTATTTCTAGTTTATGGGGGTTATTCTTCTAAAGAAAATATTTTATCTCTGTATCGAGCTTTAAGAAACATTTGAAAGAGTTTAATGGCTAGTTTAAAGAAACAACCTTTCTTTATGGGTCGTTTGGGATCCCTTTTGTTTTTTATTTTATTTTATTTTTTATTTAATTTTGTTTTTTTCTATGTTTTGATCTAAAATTTAACATGTTTGGTTGCAATGATTGTTTTTAAAAACACTCAACATATAAAAACTGTTTTGATTATTTTTAAAAGTAATTTGATTTATTTTAAACAAACGGAAAATAAAAACATGCAAAAAATATACTAAACAAACACATTTTTTTTAAATAAAAAAACAAAAAACATAAAATAAAATTGATGCCAAACTGACCTTAAATCATGTACATTATTTTCATCCGAAGGTTTGATTGTGGATACAAACAATGAGGCCTTTAAAGAACATGACACTATAATTATCAGAGACCTTAATCACAATGTGTGCAATTAGGTTCTTCAATCAATATAGAAGAAATGACTTCAAAACTGGATTGGACTAACCGGTTCAAATGCGAGCTGGTCATCTAATTAATTCCATCAACTTATAAAATCAAATTTGCATTCAAAAGACTAAAACCAGTGAAAACTATTGGTTCAACCAATGAATCACTCAACTCAAAGATGCAAAATGATTTAAGAATATAAATTAGAATAGTTTAATTATCTCTATGCTCAAATTTTTATAGATTCAAATCAAATCATTTATTTCAATAAAAGTTACATTAATTTTTGTTATGTAAAAAAATATTTCAAAAACATATTTTAAAACTTTAAAATTCTTATACTTAATTATTATTAGATAAATATATAAGTAAAATTTATACAAAAATATTATGTAATTAAATTTCAAGTAAAAAAACATCAAGATTAAACTTCATCTGTTTGTTTAAATCAGGTTTAAATAATTTCAATCGTTAGTCAATAGTAATTACATCATTCAGTTTAACTTCCAATTCAATTTTACTTGAACCTTTGAACTGTGAACATCTCCATCTGCCAAGTCCATATTAATTTTCAGAATCAAGTTCGTAAGTCAATGGTATATTAAGCAATTGGTTCATGAAACGTACATGCCTCCAAACTTCGTATGATACGCTTAAAAAATAGATTCATGCCCTTTTTAAGTTGTGAATGCTATTTGGCATAAAAGGTCAATAACACAAGTAAATAATCAAACAAATGTAAATCTTTGGTCCAATTAACTTGTTATAAATTTTTTATATAGGGTCTAACTGAGTTTTAAAGACGCTCTTTTAAAATCCATCTTTAGTTTGGTACAAGGTCTCTCCTCTCCATTGATCCTTAATTTAGATACAAAGAAGGATCGCATTTTCAATGACAATTACATTAAGAAGAAACTTGATATTAGCTTTTGACCTATCATCAATGGGAGGTTGATGTGATTGTTAAGTGCCTTTGATGCCATCTACTCATGCTAAGGACAATGTTTCAATTATCAGAGACAGACTAAGTTCTATCACGACAGTTAGATTTCCTCCATTGAGAAGTAAATAAAGATGGTCTAAAAACACTTATTTGACCCACACAATGATTTAACACAAACAATGATAATGATCTAAATTTCATCTGCAACCAATACGTCTAAATTTGGCATATGAAAGAAAATAAACTTAACCAATTCAATAAATATAAACAATAATATTATATATAGTATAAACTCCCTTGATACTTGCACATCTATAGCAAATGATTGTTCAACATTTCAATTAACAAATACAAAATCATTAAAACCAAAGTAGGCACTGCAATTTGAATAAAAAGAATTTACTTCATTCAAGCTTGCTGCAATAAATGTCACCATTCAAGCCACCCTACCTATAGATATTTCTAAAATCAAAACAAGGCCAACAATGAGCTCCTGTTAAATCTAGCGTTACAAGTTTCGATCCATTAGGCCACTCCAACAAATAAAATTTTAAGTGCTAATACTCCTATCAAATTCAAAAAATAATAGCTCAAATCAAGTCTCATAAGTGAGCTCACTTTGCCCTTGAGATTATTCGCTGATGGGCTTTCCAAAAGATATACCCATTACCACCAATTCTAAGAGTTGGTATAAAATCACTAAGCCAATTAAACCAATTAAATTAATCCACGCACCTTACCAATAAAACAAGGTCATATAGCAATTATGAGACTTTTTTAATACATGGTTTGCAAAGCTAGCTTAAGCCCTACCGAATCCACAGAGCCACCATATAGTTAACAAACCCTTCGAATCAATTTAATTAATTGGGCAATCTTACCTAGATGATAAAGTAATAAGATCAGTAATGTACCTTTCCTATCCTCGAGGTTGTAAACCCCACATATAGACCTTCCTATAAATATAAGCCCTAACTAAATTCATAAGATTAGCATAAAGTCAAAAAACAAATCAAAGAAAATTAATTCTTGAGTCTTCCGAAAGTTGTAAACCTCAAAGCGAGGCAAGTCCATTTTTGATAAGTTAATCAAAATTAAACCACTAAATCCACCAATTAAAATTCATGTGTCTAAGACAAGGTTCATCGATTTGAATTGAAACATATTGATAATTGACCGTCTTGCACTGTCTCTAAACTATTCACTCATGTTGAATGCCTATATACAGCGAGCAATCATTTTGTGTGTTCTAAACTATTCAATGAATTTAGCAATGGACAACCCTTCATCGATGAATAAATTGTGCAAAACTCGAAAGAAAATACTTGATAAATAAATCAAACTTGACATATTTGGGATGCTTGAGAAGGGGCAACCAATTATTGTTAATTAGTTTCTCTAGACATTTTAGTTCAGATGTCTTTGATGTTGGTAGTTGGACCCACTCACATACCCAAGATAACAAAACTACGGGATCATGATCAAATTAACATCAACCTCTCCAATCTTTTCATATAAATTTAATTCAAACATAGATATCAAATCAAACTCTATAACCAAGCCTTAGCAACGTCAATAAATAAATACTATACTATTAGAGAAAAGGGTGATCAAATATGGGGGCTTATGCCAATAAAAAATATCAACCTATAATCTCAATAAACCGTTATCCAAAAATAGACAAATTTTACTTAAAATAAATCAAATCTACCAAAAGGAAGATTATCTCTAGTTTATTTATCGAAGCAAGAAAAATCTAGAAAGAGATGGCTTTTTTTCCGTGTGATTGCCTAGTCACAGTTCACATAACTTAAATATATGCATCCACCCACATAAAATAACACTCTGGACATGCAATTTTGAAGACTAAAAAGACACATAATAAAAAAGACCAAACACAACATTCATTTCTCATCAAACTTACGGACTGTAGAGCACTACATGCAGAACCCTAATCAGGAAATTCAAATATAAGCGTTTGTCCCAATGAAGATGAAGGTCAATAATATGAAAAGAATTATCAATCACTCCTAAAAAAAACCCTGAAAAAAATTCTAATTTATTATTCTAGAAGGCATAAATTTCACAAAAAAAAATCAAATATAAAGAATTTCCTAAGTAAAATTTCAGAATATGAAGTGATAAATTTAACCATTAGGAGAAATAGTTATAATCCGTATACATAAAATCTTTATAGATCTGTAATTCATGAGCACAAAACTTCAAACATGCAAAATTAATACGATTACAGTACACCAACATATCTCAGCAAGAATGACAAACAAATTTATCTTTTGAATAGATTAAACAGCGTGTAAGAAAATAGGCTAGGATAGAATAAATAAAAGAGTTCCAAGAAACATTTCTTTTTGTGTATTTTTTTAAGATAAAGCAGCTTAATTACTGCAGTACCCAATGGAATAAAAAGGCAATAAGCCACCACATGCATGCGCTTTTAAGAAAAAAAAACAAAAGAATGAATGGAAGCTTGCAAGAAGACCACATTAGTTAAAGAGATTTTATATGGTCTAGAGATTCAACTTCCTACAGTGATTTCACTGTAATTTTAAGGTTGTAGTCATGGGAGTTGATGTCCATTAAATGAAAGATCAATATAATCATCAGAGCAACAATATGACCTAAAAATATTCCACAAAATATATGCTTGGGCAGAGGCCTCCTCCCTCAAACCCTCAAGCAACGAGGCACTTCCCCGTGATACAAAATTAGATCTGTAGAAGTAAGGAAGAGGTCACCAACAAAGATTAAGTCAATAATAAAGATTAGACAACATAAATAATCAAGTGTGGAAGAATGGAAAATAAAATAAAAAACATCACTATACATCTATAAAACTCGTAGGAAAGATTAAATAAAGAGTGCAATACCAGACAGTCGAACAGCTAGGAGATCAGTTGATACAAGAACAAGTAAACGGACACAATGACGCAGAAGCTGTGTAGCATTCTTTCCCAATGAATCCTATTTTAAATTATCAAAATAACAATATTAGGCAATAACATCTATAATCAAGCACAAAACTGACACCCTGACAAGGAAAAGAAAATAGTAATATCAACATAAAAAACAAGCTTACAAGAATCCAAGAGTTTAGAATGCCAAGGCCTTCTTTGTTGCCAGCAAACGACTTGAGAACCTCCACAGGGAGACTCAACATCGCTTTAGCAAGATGCAATCTTCCAGAAGTTGTTTTTGCACTGATGAACATGTCCTGCAGTAGGGCTTCCTCAGCCAATAACTTCCGTGTTCCATCTGAAGAGCTACCGCAAGCATAATGGAAAAGTTTACACGCATCAAGTCTCTTACACAAGTCTCGCACTTCATTTCTTTCACTATCAGACCTTGATTGCATGTCCTCCATTGCCTCAACCTCCAAAACATAATCCTTACCAGTACTTAAAATGTCATTAATACGTACAGCTTCTCGAAGGCCACTCATCATAGCACCACCAACTGTATCTGGGTGCTCTTTGCAGGTAGCTTCTCCTGCAAAAAATAAACAGTTTGCAACTGGCCTACCTAAAAAATCATAGTCCTCCCCAGAAGCCCCAACTGCAACATAGGAGTAAGCACCTCTGCTGAAAGGATCCACACCCCAATTTGTGACAACATAGGCAACTGGATCAGGCACAGAAGCTTCGCCAAAAAGTTTACGGAGAACACTCAAAGCATGATTAACATGATCAGCAGAACTTAAATTCTGTCCATATACAGCTGCTTTCCCAACCACAAGTGCTATAAGAACCGGAGCACCCACTGTTTTCATGACATTCCAAAACATGAAACAACGACCCCTGCTGTCTGTTTCTTCTGCAGTAGCCCCAAAATAATCTACAGTTTCGTCCCAGAAAATACTAGGAAACTCTAATACTACCTTATTCAACACACCAAAACCAAGCCTTTGGATAGAAGACTCTTTCCAATCAGGCAGAGGTGGTGAAAATTTGATAGTATTTGCTTTAAGGCATCCTAGCGGAATGGTAATCAAAACTGAATCAGCTAAGAACTCTTGCCCAGCTGATGTGCATACTTTCACTTTGTTTGAGTGTTGATCAGTGCCATTGGGATCATTAATATCATAAAAGATTTCAGTGACTACATGATTCAAATGTATGTCAAGACCTTTAGCAAAACAATCTAAAACAGCGCCATAACCCCCCTTAATCATACAATGAGCCCCACCAAATCCCCCATAAACATCATCTTGATTCCAATAAGGAAGGGATACTTCCTTAAGTGAGGCAGCACATCCATACTCCAAGTTTGCAAAGTGCCAATCCATTACCCTTCTTTCAAGAGGACTCAATATGTCTGTTTTCTGAACAACACCACCGCTACATGTAGTTCCATTTTTGGCTGAAGCAACATTTACCTGTTCTGCCTTTGCGACAGATGATGTTGACAAAGCCATCCGACACCTCTTAAGAGCATATTCCAGCCCATCCTCAAGAGACATATTCATTGCATTCTCACCATGTTCTGATATGAATAACAAGGTTTCATCAAGAAGACTATTGTATTCTGCTTCAAGAGCCTCATCCAAATCAGTGGGGACTTTATGACCTGTTACTATATCATAAAGAGGGCAATCACTGTTTAAAATGGTCAACTCCAGACCTAACTGAGTACATATTAGAGAGGAAGGGTCTGGTCTTCTTTCAGTTGCAACATCAGCCTGAACGCCAGTTATAATGCTGGCTCCAAGATCCACAGGAACAGAAAGGGATGTGCGATCAGTGTACACTCGACCTCCTATCCTACCTCGAGCCTCTAGAACAGTAACATAATACCCTTGACGCTGTAAATGGCGTGCTGCAGTTAAGCCAGCAGGTCCAGCCCCAACAACTACTATTTTCCTCAGCAAACTAGAATTGAATTCAACACTACCACTCCCTTCAGAAGTTTTCTGTTTCATGGACACATGTGATTTCACTGGATCAACCATTCTAATGGTTTTTGAGGCATCGAGTTCAACCATATTATGACCTTCGCTTTTCCAGGGATGGACCGCACAAAAACTTGTTGTTACTTTATCACAGTAATAATCCCTTTCTTGGCAGGTACAGTCAAATGATTGTATATCACTTGATGCAAATACTGGCTCATTTTGGCCCCATACATTTTCTCCGATATTTGCCTGGACAGATGATTTAGATACACGGCTAGACTCAAACGGATCCTTATCTTCATTAGCTTCTTCCTCAGATGTTCTTTTTTTAGGTTGGGCTTGGCATATTACAGTGTTGACCATTCCATTCATATTTTCAGAACCCTCAACCTCACCAACTAGATAAGCTGCTTCATCCTCAGAGCTAGTGTTCTTCAAATCACAGGTTCTCTTAGATTTTGATTCCTTCAGTGGTTCAGAAACAAGTGAAGCAGAGTTTTTTGGACCCCTTTCTGCAGCAATTCCTGAATTGATATAACCCTGCACATAAATTTATTGATTTGAGCTCACCAAGTTTCCCCCAAACAATACTAAAAGAAGATAGCCCACAATCTAGAACAACACTAAAAGAACATTAAGAAAATCAAAGAGAACCTATAAAGAAGAATATAAGTTTCCCCCAAACGTCTTAATCAAGAAAATTAAGAAAATAATTCACAAAAAGGCCGTTAATGCAGAGTACAGTTATTTCCCTTGTAACATAGAGATCACCAATTCCAAACACAGAAACTACACCTCTACATATGGAGGATAAGCCTGAATGTATCAACAACTCCATGAACCCTACGTTGTTGGGAACTCATGAACAATACACAATATTAAGAATTTAATTTGCGGAAAAGCACTACATTTTGGTCCACCAACAAGTTTCTATACTAAGGTAATTAATTAAAGGTATAGAAAGCAGAACAAAAATTCTTCGCATATGATTTTTATTGAGTATCACAAGAGTATGATCTAGAGTATGTCAAAAAAAAAATGCGATAAAACATTTGTTGAAGTTATTAAAGATATGAATAAAGAATACTAACAAGTACTACAAAAAATTGATTGAATGTAATGCCTTTGACCAATAAGTAAAGGTCTAAGCTTTGAATCATTAGATTATATTAGAAATCAACATCAAATCACTACTTTCTTGTATTGATTGAAAAGAAAAAAGGATTCAAAATGAGGTATCTTGCTGTAGGTTATTTGCAAATGATAGTTCCAAGCAGTAAAATTTCTACACAAAATTGTGGAAAGCCCTAAAAAAAAGCCAAGGAACAGTATAGAAAATAAGAGATTTAGGACAAGTAATAAATGTAAAACAAAGTCACTATCTAATATGCAATTTGGGAAATCTAAAATTGATAATTATGAGTTAATATTGCAATAAACTTAGAAACACAAGAATAGACCAGGTGTACTCAATAAACATAGGTTAAAATAGCACTTTACAGCTGATCACTAACAAGTTGACTGATTGGAAAATTCACCATGCATATCAAATAAAGAGTAGTAACTTACATGTTGATCCAGAAACTTATATATATCACGGTTAAGGGATATTCGAGAATGCTCGTCTTCTAAAGAACTTTCAGATAGCCCACAATCTTCAAGTGTCAATATATGTTTGACATCTTTACTCCAACAGCGTAAAATCAAATTCCTGAAATGCGGAAATCCAGTATAGAAACGGACAAACAATTCCAATTAAGTAAAGGAGACATTTTTAACAAAAGCAGTTTGGGAGGCATCCAAATGAACGCTAAGAAATAAAATTATACTTCACTTATAAGCACGTGAAGACATCCATGTTCCAAGAGAAAAAGATAATCTCAATGATTTAGCATGATTAGATTTTGCATACATTTTCCATGTTGAATGTACAACGAAACTGTAGGTTGTATTAATAGCAGATAAGATAAACAGTCCATGATATATAGTGAGATAAAAAAATAAAGCAGGATGCAGAAAAACAATATTCAGGCTAAAAAACAATTTAAATTAGACCACTATATTCAAATAACAATTGCAAATTACAAACGGATTCAAAAATTGGAATTTGAAATGAAATGAAGAATCACTACTGGTCAAGCTTTGGATTGCCAGGTTGGCTATCATAACTCTTAAGTATGCACCACTACATAGTTGTTTTTAAAAATTTTCTTATTAGTTTTCAGGATATACACGGACCTATTTATTTATAATTTTGTTGAATAAAAAAGGTTGTAAAATGTTGAAGAATTTGAAATTTCTTCCAATTACTTGGACGTATTGTGGCCGACCAAGGAGGGGGAGACTTGGCGATCCTTCACCCCTATTGCTTTGCTAAGTGATAGGTTAATTCATCAATGCACTTTTGTATTTTTTTTCTTTTCCTGGTTGTAAAATTTTTCCTTTATCATCCCTCTACATCTTCATCCCATCTTCATAATTTTCTCCCACCAAAACTATAAGCAAATCCCATGTTAAAGGGGGGTTAGCCTATAAATTGGCAGAGATATGAATTAATCTTGATTCTTTAGCTTTTAAACAACCTAAATTCTTTGAAAGTTTGTGAAAAGCTTTAGAATTAATGTAGACACTATATCAAGTGTTTTTAATTTTTCTTAAGCCCTCCTCCCGTAAGTTCAAAGATCCACCCAAAACCTGCTGCCACATTATATTCATGCATAGCTTAGTCTTCCAAAAAAATATTTAAGAAAAATATCAAAATTTCAGAAAGTTCATGAAACTTTCCGAAGCATTTAAACGTCTCATCTAAGATTCCAAAATGTCTCAAGCTCCAATGTTACATATTTTCACACCAAAGACAAAATTTGATATAGAATTTTCTGTTGAAGGAACTCACCTTTTATAAACGACCACCATAACTTGATTTTCTATTATCCCTTCACCTAAACAAACTAGTTCCTTACACACCTTCCTTAGCAACTTTGGAAGCTTCCTATTCAAAAATATTTTATTACTCCAGGGCAAACTCTAGATCTCCACTAAATTTTAATATCATGGCATAAGATTAAAAAAAGAAACAAACTTTTAATGAAATAATTGCACAAGAAAGCTATTCTTCATTGACATTCATGAAAAATATTTTATTATCATACTTTTTTCTTATTAGGTGTAATTTTATATTATTTGATAGGCGTGCTTTACCTAATAGGATTCTATGAATTTTACGAAACTTTTCCAAATTAATTGGCTCCATGGATATGATCTAACCCTAGACCCTTGAGTGACTCCAAATTTAGTAAATTATAAGTTCCCCAAATTTTTTTAGAGCCTTTCATATCTAATATTATCCAAGATTTAAGATCTCTGACTTAGTATTTTCTAACTTGAACTAGTTAGGCTTCTCAAACTCAACAATTTATATTAAATAATTAAACATGCCTCTTATAATTTTGAGTGAACTCACATTTATTTACTTCCATAATTTATATGAATTTATATCATTTCGGCATCTCACGACAACAAGCATTCTCCCTTACACTGATATTTTCATTTAATTAATTGCTATACAACTGCATTGTTTATACACCCTTAGTTCATCGACACAACATGCCACTTAATTCAACTAATATGATGAAATTTGAAGGATAAACTAAAATGGCTAAGAACCTAGATATTAGGGAACATACATATGAGATAACCTACAACAAATCAAACTATCCTTAGAGAGGAATAACAATAAAATGCAAACCCTACTTATAGCTATAACTGGCTAGATTACTACAATCACCACCTCCCAACCCATCTCTCCAAAAAATTCATGGAGAGGACCAACATGTTAGACAAAACCAAAGGCATATGAATCATTTTAAAGGAGAATCAAATTACGAATGGTTCTGACTTTAGTGACCTTATTAAGAAATTCAAAATAAGATCACCCACTTTTTATATAGTCCATGATCCCAATTAATTATTTAACCAACTTCACCAAATTGATCATTTCTTTAAGTGGCACCAAATGGATCATTATCAAATTGTGGCTTTTGCCAAATGAAACTTGTGGGTTATGAAAAAACTTTGTAGTCTAATATTTTGACATAAGAAGAAAGATTAAGACCTCACTTCAGTGGAAATGAAGGAAATGTTAAGGTCCTAGTCCTATTCCAACTTCCAAGCATCATGATAAAAGCTTCACGGGCAATTAATGGCTCTTAAATAAGAGAGCATGCATATCAACAAATAGTTATACATATTTGAGAATTTAATAGCGAGAACTTAATGGAATGAAAATGATTGACAACTAGCCAAAAAACTTGTCATAAATTTTAGGATGAATATGAAGAATGAGGTTGAAAAACAAGACCTTCAAACTATACTCTCCTCATTGAGAACAAAAAAAAAAAGTTGTCATCAATCTATAGGGCTAAAGCACATTTTTGTTCCATCAAAAAGTCTACTGCTAGATCAAATCCACTGCATGCTTGTGTCTCCAACACTAAAGCTATTATTAAATCCATCTCAAAGAATAGCAAAGATATCACTTATCTTTAAAAAAAAAAAAAATTGTATTTTGTGATCTTATTAAATTTAACTAGATCATAAATTACCAAAAAGAGCTTCCAATCATAGCAAATGATACAAATATAACAATCCTCTCAATTGTCCATACCTTCATTTTCCACGACCATGTTATGCCTAACAATCAAAATTCTAATCCACATAAACATCAAGTTCGGAACTTCAATCACCAATTCAAACACTTAGGACAACTAAAAAAATCGAATCCCCCAACTCCTTCCACTACAAATTCATCATCTCTACCAAAATATCTAAATTCTAATTCCACTAAAGCTTTATCATGACTTTTTCTATGTCATCGTCACACAAAATAAAATAAGGTCTTTCAATCTTATAATTCAATTTTGAGAATTTTTGGTTTCAAAGTTTTCCCTAATCATTAAAACATCTAAGAGAAGACGTTGAAGATGTGTGCAAGAAAAGCAAGCCAGTGAAATAAATTTGAACCTGCAGTTCGAAAGATAAAAAGCTAAGATAGATGAAAGGATCAATAGCAAACAACGGTAACACAACTGAAAGGTTCAAGAAAATTATTTGAAATTTTATATGGCACTTACTGAATTTTCCATTCAGATCCCCGTGTAGTACTCAATTTAGCCCCCAACCCGAATCTTCTATACTTTCCAACAGGAAAAATAACAAGAGGGTGATTGGAGTGAACGTAGACAAAGGTGAGTTAGAACATGAAGAAAGACCTTGAAAAACCTATGATCAACGAGAAGAGATGGCGTGTTAAAGAAAAATACAAGGGAAACCGACAGTGCTACCCTGCTTAGTAACAGAGCTTAAGTTAACTTTCTTGCTGAAATTTGGCTTTTTCTTCTCTGTTCGATCGCAACCTGCTATGACAGCAACAGGAATTCAGCAGCAGCAGTTATGGGAGAATCTAAATTCAGGTTTTGGTTTTAAGACTGTGAAGCAAGTGTTCCAGTAATATTTCAATGTATTTAGTTAGCAAAACAATGGCAACAACTCTAAAAAAACAGCGGAAATTGGGGCAACAGCTTCACCAGTGCGTAAAACAGTAATAGCAAGAGACCAGCTTCCTTTAGCAATGTGCAACAGTACCTAAACAGAACCCTACTTGAGAAATTACAATTAGGAAAAGAAAAAATATTTAGAAAACTTCTAGCTGAGCAGAATTCCAAGACGTCAAATATGCAATTACACCAAGAATTGATCTAATTTATAACTAAGCAAAATCCATTATAAGGGAAAAATCCTATCGATAATAACTTGGATACAGCCTAATCTTAGAAAACAAATTTTAAAACAAACTAACCCAAAATTAAAACTCATCCACATTTGCCGTAATAAGAATATTTTTATCCAACAGTCCAACTTCTGATGCCTTGATCTCCATTCTATGGCTTTGATTAAAAATTTGATTGCTTCTATGAGCACTTGGCAACATCATTTTTGATGTTACATAAGTGATCTGAGAATCACTACAATCAGAAATTTTCGTGGAAAAATCATACAGTTAAAAAACAAAAATCATAATAAATTCGATCTTTTCACGATCTAGTACTCAAATCGTAATCGGAGACGAATAGATTAATCATCAACTAGAACGGATCATAGGTACATTATTTAAGAGGATTGCATTACAATGAAATTAAACCTCTATGTGAAGAAAACTTGCATGCCCAACTTCCCTAGTGTAACATTTAACTATGCTTGGTAGCTAGCCCATCTTGACGAAGTAGTATGGCTACTTTGGCCATCTAAAATACATTTTCCCAACAAATACATAAAAAACAAAAAAAAAAAAACCTGAAGCAAAAATGCTACTTTGCGCTCAAGTTAACTAACCAACTATTATCAGAGATAACAAATTGAAATTTGACCAAAACTCAAAAAACATCAATGTCAGATAAAGTGTATAAAAACGTTCACAGTAATAACTCTCATTACACTAAAAATGTGGTGTGCGCCCTCTGACAAGTTAGTTTGCTTGATTACAATGACATGACATCACTATAGTATAATTATAGTCTAAGCCTGAATGTTTGTTAGCTTGATTACAATGACATGACATCACAATATTATAATTATAGTCTAAGCCTGAATGTTTGTTAGCTTGATTACAATGACATGACATCACAATATTATAATTATAGTCTAAGCCTGATG